CTCTATGCTCTAGCTCCATCGGTAAGTGACACGCCTTTTCAAATACCAATTTGTACGGTGACATACCAATCAGAGTTTTGAATGTAGTGCGGTATGCCCATAGTACATCATCCAATTTTTTCGCCCAATCAGTCCGAGTAACATTTACAGTTTTGGTCAAAACACTCTTGATTTCTCTGTTTGACACCTCAACTTGACCACTTGTTTGTGGGTGATACGGAGTGGAAACCTTATGGTGTACGCCATATTTTTCCAGCAACTTTGCGAAGGCTCGATTACAGAAGTGAGTTCCTCCATCACGGATGATCACCCTTGGAGTTACAAATTGGGTAAATATATTTTTTCTTAGAAGACCAATAACTCCCTTTGCATCATTTGTTGGGAGTACTATGGCTTCTACCCATTTCGAGACATAGTCCACTGCCACGAGAATATACTTGTTGTTGTATGAGCTGACAAATGGTCCCATAAAGTCGATTCCCCATACATCAAATACTTCTACTTCTTGAATTAGGTTCATGGGCATCTCATGTCGATGAGAAATATTCCGCGTCCTTTGACACTCATTACAGTTCTTTACCGAAAAGTGTGCATCTTTAAACAACGTCGACCAATAGAAGCCCGACTCCAAAACTTTAGCAGCTGTCCTTACTCCTCCGAAATGATCTTCATAAGGCAAAGCTTGACATGCCTGCAAAACAGAAGCTTGGTCTATCTCGGGAATACATCTCTGGATCATCATATCAATACAAATCCAAAACAAAGATTGTTCATCCCAGAAATACATGCGACAATAACGAAAGAACTTTTTTTTCTGCACAGAAAAAAATTTATAAGGAACAATACTGCTTGCCAGGTAGTTTGCAATGTCTGCATACCATGGCACTTCCTCAAGGCTCGTGGCTAACAGTTGTTCATCCGGAAAAGTCTCCATGATCTCTTCCACCTCAATCTTTGTTTCAGCTCCTTCAAGCCTGGACAAGTGATCAGCATCTTGGTTTTCTGTTCCTTTTCGGTCACGAATTTCAAAGTCAAACTCTTGCAACAGTAGAACCCATCGAATCAGGCATGACTTTGCTTCCTTTTTATCAATTAGGTACCTCAGAGCAGCATGGTCAGTATAAATAATTACCTTCGAGCCTATCAAGTAGTACCGGAATTTGTCAAATGCGAACACCACTGCTAGCATCTCTTTTTCTATCACTGTGTACTTCAGTTGGGCTCTATTCAGTGTTCTACTTACATAGCAGATTGGATGCATGATTTTATCTTTTCTCTGTCCAAGTACTGCTCCCACGGCATGGTCACTTGCATCACACATTAGCTCAAATGGCTGCTCCCAGTTGGGTGCAACTATGATAGGTGCAGACACTAGTCTCTTCTTCAATCCTTCGAAAGCTACACTGCAGTCATTAGAAAACACAAAAGGGTGATTTTTTCAATCAATTTACACAAAGGGTTATCAATCTTGGAAAAATCTTTTATAAACCGCCTGTAAAAACCGGCGTGACCAAGGAAACTTCTTATTGCCTTGACGAAAGTAGGTGGTGGCAGCTTCTCTATTACATCATTCTTGGCACAGTCCACCTCAATTCCCTTACTTGACATTAGGTGTCCCATGACTATACCTTCATGTACCATAAAATGGAATTTTTCCTAGTTCAACACCAGATTAGTCTCCATACATCTCTACAACACTCTTTTCAGATTTCTAAGGCAATCATCAAAAGAATTTCCCACCACCGAGAAATCATCCATGAAAACCTCCATTATATCCTCTACCATATCTGTCAAGATGGCCATCATGCACCTTTGGAATGTGGCGGGTACATTGCATAGGACAAAAGGTATTCTCCGAAAAGCGTAAATGCCATATGGAAAGGTGAATGCCATTTACTCTCTATCCTCAAGGGCAATAGATATCTGGTTGTACCCCGAGTATCCATCCAAGAAGCAAAAATGAGACCTTTCTGCCAATCTATCTAGCATCTGATCAATGAACGGCAAGGGAAAATGATCTTTTCGGGTGGCCTTGTTCAATCTTCTGTAGTCCATGCAAATTCGCCATCCCGTGACTATTCTTGTTGAGATTAATTTATTGTTCTCATTTTGCACAACAAGCATCCCATCTTTATTTGGAACACACTCAACTAGGCTAACCCAGTTGCTATCTGAGATGGGAAAAATAATTCCCGCATCTAACCACTTGATCACTTCCTTCTTTACAACTTCCTTCATGTTAGGGTTCAACCTTCTTTGATGTTCTCTGGAAGGTTTGTGCCCATCTTCCAGTAGAATTTTATGCATGCAGAAGGTCGAGCTGATACCCTTAATGTCTGCAATATTCCAACCAATTGCATTCTTGCACTCTTTCAACACCTGCAAAAGTTGTTCTACCTGCACATCTAACAAACCAGATGAGATAATAACCGGTAAAGTCGAATTAGGTCCCAAGAAAGCATACCTGAGGTGAGATGGTAGAGATTTCAGCTCCAATTGTCGTGGTGCTTCGATCGATGGCTTGGCTGGAGGGTTCTTTCTTTCTTTCGAGTGTAAAGGCTCGAATTCGAGCTCTCTTTTCCAATACCATTGCCCTTGAAGAGCCAACACCCATTCCGCTATGTCCTCACCATTTACTTCTTCTAAGTTCATAAGCCATGCTGTTAGAGGGTATTTTGCATTAAGTGCCTCATCATCTTCCTCCATGATTGCATCCACCATGTCTAACAAAGAGCAATTTGCAAACTCACTGGGTTACCGCATAGAATTTTACATATTAAATGTTATTTCTTCATTATTCAGCCTCATCTTTAGCTCCCCTATTTCACAATCAACCTGTGGCCAAGAACGGCCTTCCCAAAATTATGGGAATCTCCTCATCAACCTTGCAGTCCAGAATGACAAAATCTGTTAGAAACACGAATTTTCCAACTTGCACAAGTACATCGTCAAGTATACTGATGGCCTTTTCACCGTTCCATCAGCTAGTTGCAATAACATAGATGTGGGCCTTGCTCTTCCAATGCCAGCTTTTTATAGATAGAAAATGTCATCAGATTTATACTTGCTCCCAAATCACACAATGCTTTGGCAAATGCATAGCTACCTATGGTGCATGAAATTGTGAAGCTTCTAGGGTCGGATAACTTCTCAGCTATAAGTCTTGACACAACAGCACTACAAGTCTGTGTCAATGTGCCAGTGGCCAAATCTTGGAAGTCGAACTTGCGAGACATCAAGTCCTTCATCATTTTTGCATAATCGGGCATCTCCCTCAAATCATCAATTAGAGGAATGTTTACCTGAATTTGCTTCAGCATTTCCATGATTGTTTTGTACTGTTCATCCTTTTGATATTTGGCCAACCTCTGCGGGAAGGGTGCTGGAGGTCGCATATTTTCTGTAGCTTGAGTTAGATCCTGCTCAGACACATTTTCTAAAACCTTCTCTTGCATTTTCTCAGTCTCCTCCGCAACCTCTTTTTCCTTGATTATTTCCTCGTGGGCTGGTTGCACTCTTACTACTGTTAGCCCGGTTGACTCATCTAACTCAATTAGCACTGACACAAGTGTTTCAGTTGACCGGCTCTCACGAGCAATTTCTTGCTCTAAATCAAGATCTCTACCATTTCTCAAGCTCACCGCCATAAGCGGGTTCAGGCCCTGCTCTTTTGGATTGACATGTGTGTCCGTAGACGACGTCCCTCGAGGACGATTGTTAAGGGCATGGATAATTGCCCTAGTTGAATCTCAATGCCCTTGATAGCCGAATCGTGTGACACTACCTTTTCCTGCATTTGGTGGACCTTTTCTTCCATTTTCACGCTGATCCCAATGAGTTGTTGCAACATTTTTTTTAATTTCAGATAACCCATCATCCCACCTCGCTATCTGCTGTTGTTGAGGTTGTTGATAAGTTAGCTGCTGACTTTGCTGGCTGTATCCTTGTTGTCTTTGGTAAGGTACTACTTAACCCTGTGGTCGCATAGCTCCAGGATTGTTGGTACTATTGTACTGTTGTTGTGCTGGTCTATACTACTGGTTTTGCTGCCCCCAATTCTGACCACCTTGTCTCTGTCTTCCATAGTTTCCCACATAGTTCATGTTCTCTTGATAGTTTTGGTTGTCACTTTCACCACTCCACGAACACATGTATGGTTGGTTAATGCATGGTGTACATAATCCCCCATTAGTCGTGTCAACTATGTGTACGTGCTTCTGGCCTGATTCATCAATCTTCTTGGTGAGGATACTCATTTGCGTCATTAGATTGGCCATATTTTCGGCTATGGAATTGTTCGGGTCCAATGCTACTGAGTGAACTATAGGGGTGATTGTGGAATCTCTTATCATCCATCCTGAGTTTTGAGCCATTTTATCTAGCAAGACCTTACACTCTCTAAATGACTTGCTTGACAATGTTCCACCTGCTGAAGCATCAACATTGGCCTTTAAGCTGTCCGCCAATCCCATGTAAAACCATTGTCCCAACATCTGATCTGGAATGCCATGATGTGGACACTTAACGAACATACCTTTAAATCTCTCCCACGTTTCTTGTAATGTTTCACCTGGTTTCTGCCTGAAGCTCAATATCTCATCAACCTGCTTGGCAGTCTTATTGGGTGGGTAGAACTTATTCAAAAACTGCTTGACTAATTCCTCCCAAGTTGTGATGGAATTTATGGGGAGCAAATTAAGCCAAGTTTGAGCTTGTCCTATCACTGAGAATTGAAACAACAACAGTCTTATTGCTTCCGGTGTCACATTTGGTTGCCTTTGCGTGACACAAATTGACAGAAAATGTTTCAGATGCTGCTGTGGATCTTAAATGTAATACCCGGAGAACAGTCCTTTATTTTGCAGCAGATGTATCATGTTGTTTGTGATTTGAAATGTCTCCGCTTGTATCTGAGAGACTGCAATTGCAGTTGCCAAATTTTCAGCAGTGGGTTGTGCCCAATCATACAAAGTTGCTTCTGGCACAAGAGGTGCCACACCCTAATTATTCAGGTCATTCACAATGTTTCGATTATTTTGATTATCCAAAGCGTCACCCATGTTTGGTTTAATTTGCTCTCTTGGGTGGTGATGTTGTTTGTCTTTCTTGTTTGCACGATTTAATTCCTTGAAAGTTTTCTCAGGATCCGGTAATGCTTCAAACAATTTATCAGTTCTTGAAGAGTTTCTAGGCATACACCTATAACACACAAGACCACAAATGTTAGAATTTCAATGTAATGAATAAAAATGGAGAAAATTGACTAAACTAAGAATCCTACAAATTCTTATAGATGTAATTAGTAACACTGTTACTTTCCCCGGCAACTGTGCTAAAATTTGATCACGCCCAACTATGCCTTATAAAAAGGATTAAGCGGTCGTTGCAAATATAATCCGATTTGCAAGTCCGGAATCAAACCCCACAGAGAAATAACGTGTTAATTACACTAATAATTTTGCACGAATTCAAGTAATCAACCTTCAGAAATATTATAAAATAATTTGAGAGTTTACTAACTAAGATCAAAGTAATTAAAAATACAATAATTTATAACTAACAAGGCAAATATTGTAGACAAGATTTGAAAAAGTCTAAGGTTATGATTTTTCCTATTGTCGGGATCTTCCCCGCTACGTCTTCTATAAATTCGCCTAAATATTTTCTACCGATCGTGAGTACTTTAAGTGTCGTAGCTCTTTCTCGAGTAACTACTACAATTTACTAGACGTATTTTCTCGAACTACGCTAGCTGGCACTAATTTATCGCTCACGACGATCGCACCAAGGCTTCGTTATCTCTAAACCCGCCTTTAAACCCTTCATATCGATCTCTTAACTACGTTAGGAGTGGTGTTGTTCAACAACTTCCTAAATGTGCACTCTCTCTCGAGCAATATACACATTAAATAGACACAGTTTACTGAGAACTCTTCAATTAACAACAATGAAAATATAGTTGAACAAGTAGAGAAAAATCAAAGGCAAATCTATATTAAACGCAGTAGAGAATCATCCTCCAATAGGTTCCATCAAATCTTAGATTAAAGAGTTTAGCTACTCATAAATACAACAACAATCAACATAATGTTTAAAAACATGAAACTACAAAGTATAGAGATAAAGGAAGTGAAAACTATGAGTCATGTGCCATGTGTGGTTAGGTTTTTGTAGAGTCCATATCACTGTACTTGTGTCTAGAACTTGCCCGGTATATGAGTTGAAGCAAAATTTTAGGTGATGCTCGGTTTGAAAAATGACTTTAGGCCTTCTTTGATCTTTTTGAGCTTTAATATTTATCATAAATAAAATCTATCCTTAGTTAACCCTTTTAAGCCTATAGACGTTTATTTGGCACCCACATTACAAGACTATTTCCTTTTTGTTTTTAATTGACATTGTTTTAATCCTTTTACCTCTTAAAGTACTGAACTTGCAAAATGAGTGCTAGAATAAGTAAGTAGGAAACTTGGGTGGCTTTTGAGTGTAACCAATGGAAGAAAGAAATGTGCACTTGTGTTGTAAGAGATAAACCACTAGCGGGAATTGCAAAAGAAAAAAAATCTGAAAAAATATGTGTAGATAAATAAGTACATCTTGTCCTAGCTAGTGGGGTATAAATTAAGGTAATGCTTAAAGAAAAAGGGACCGTTTTTGGGGGTGATCTTATTTGTGAAATTGAAGTTGAATTGAAGAAATTTGCGTTTAAAGTTAATTTTGTGATGTGTTAAAGTGCTTAGGAGGGTTAGTCACTATTCTTAAATATATCCTCTATCCCTTAGCCCACATTACAACCATGAAAAAGTCCTAATTCATTTTAGATCGAGCGAGCCTACATTAGTAGAGATTTATATTAAGGGCAAGCCTATGGTACCATTGCATGCATGTGACTTCTTTGTGAGAGTGAGAGATTTCTTTGATATATGTGAGTCCTTAAACTATATTTGATCATGAGATTTGAATGTGTGGGTTCAACTTACTCTCTTGTTCTTGTTGTGAGGGCACATAATTTCACGAGGGATATGTAACATTATTAGACTTCTCTACAATGTTGAGTATTCAAGTCATGAGTGCATGGTGACATTGAGTCAGTTTTTTGAGGCTAGAATTGTTATGAACATGTTGTCTTTGTTTGAATATTTTTTAAGTTTGGCATAAGAAAAAAGGGAAGTATGTTTTGAATGCATATTCTAAGCTTAATGTTGCTATCAACCATAGTCATTGGTGTAATGTGCTTCGAATGTGTTAAGTATGAAGTGCTCAAAGATAGTGTAAATTGTTGGTTGACTCGAGGACGTGCAACATTTAAGTGTGAGGTGGTGATGTTCGGCAAAAAAATGCATATATTTAACCATTATTGCCTAATGTTCTAGTACTTTTAATAGTCTTTTGAATATTAATTATATTATTTTATGCTTAATATTATATTATAACTGTGTAGGAATAAAGCGGTATGAAGATGAAGAGATTTGGAGCAAAATTAAATAAAATATGGAAGAAAAAGAAAGGAAAATAAATAATTAAATAGAAAAAGACAAACACCAAAAGGTGTCCCCCCTAGTGTAAGAAAAAGAAAAGGAAAATGCAATTCAAAGAGTGAAAATCACAAAACGTAATGGGATATTTCAGCCCGAGACAAGGTTATTTCATCCTTACACGGTCCCAACTCGTATAAAAGGGGTTCTAAACCTAATTTGGAGGGGATCGAACATAGTTTTGAGAGGAGAACACGCAACTTTTGACTAAGGGAGAGCACAGAGCTGCCGTGGAGCGAGGCCGAGTTTCATCTTTTCTTCTACCAAACTTAGTAATTTTTATATTTTTTGTATGATTTATTGTTTGGGTACCATGTTTATGTGGATCTAAACTTCATGTTCTAGGGTTGTGGTTCTTTCATGACTATTGTTATTCAGATATTGATTTTGATTTCTTGATTTATCGTATTAGTTTATTTATTCAATCTTGCGCTTAATTATTTAATTGCTTGATCACCAATTGAATACTATCTACGAATCTAAAGTTGAACTCGAAAGTGGGAATTCTAGATTACACATAGGATTGAGTAGAGCAAGTTCTTGAACTCGGGCATCGGGGAATGGATTCGCGGTTAGGATAGACCTATGCTAATTATCTTGCTTGGTTATTATATGGGAATTACAAATGCATTCTTATTGATTCTAACTCTATAGACATATACGAGTTAGGTTAGCTTGAATAGGCGAGTAAGAACTCGATAGATTCTTATGAGCAATATTAACCCTGTCAACCAATAAACCAGATAAATTAATTAGTCAATTTAATTGAAGAATACAATAGGATTGTTAGATAACCCATGACTCTAGATCGTTTTTATTACATTGATAATATAAAAATCTTATCTTCCTCTGTTTAAAGTTTATTAGTTATTTTCTTTTTAATTAGCTTAGTAACAACACTTTTGGGGTGAATCCTTGTTTAGATAATTAGGACTGCCTAATTTGGTTAATACTGATAACAAACCCTCGTGGATTCGACACTCTATCTTATTACTTTATTACTTGTTGACCGCACATATACTTGTGTGTGCGTTTGGCCGCAACAAGTTTTTGTCTCTGGTAAAAGCTAGTACATATTTTATTAAAGCCATGAATGACCAATAATTAAGAGGGCGAACCAATGTGCCCATATATACGAGATCAGGCAATAATCAAGTAGATTAGCTTGACTCAATTTAATTTGGAGAACAACAATTAGGAAGTTGCTACTTATCCAACTAATAAGATCCCATAATAGGGGTGTGCTCATAATCAAACAGGATAGAGGAATCTTGAAGGCAGGAAGTGGTTACGCCCAACTATGCCTCCTAAGAGATCTAGCAGTCGTTGCAAATATAATCCGATTTACAAGTCCGGAGTCGAATCTCACAGAAAAATAACGTGTTAATTACAACTAATAGTTTTGCATAAATTCAAGTAATCAACCTTCAGAAATAATATATAATAATTTGAGAGTTTACTAACTAAGATCAAAGTAATTAAAAATGCAGTAATTTATAACTAACAAGGCAAATATTGTAGACAAGATTTGGAAAAGTATAAGGTTATGATTTCCCCTATTGTCGGAATCTTCCCCGCTACATTTTCTATGCATTTGCCTAAATATTCTCTAACAATCGTGAGTACTTTGATTGTCGTAGCTCTCTCTCGAGCAACTACCACAATATACTAGACGTATTCTCTCGAGCTACACTAGCTGGTACTAATTCACCGCTCATTACGATCGCACCAAGGCTTCGTTATCTCTAATCCCGCCCGTAAACCCTCTGTATCGATCTCTCAACTACGTTAGGAGTGGTGTTGTTAAACAACTACCTAAATGTGTACTCTCTTTCGAGCAATATACACACTAAATAGGCCCAGTTAATTGAGAGCTCTTAAATTAACAACAATGAAAATATAGTTGAAAAAGTAGAGAAAACTCAAAGGCAAATCTATATTAAATGTAGTAGAAAATCATCCTCCAATAGGTTCCATCAAACCTTAGATAAAAGAGTTTAGCTACTCATAAATACAACAACAATCAAGATAATGTTTAAAGACATGAAACTACAAACTAAAGAGATAAAGGAAGGAAAAACTCATTTGATTCTTGCTCCACAGTGCTTGGCAGCCTTTTTATTCTCCAAAATAGTGTCCAACCCTAAGAAATAGATTTAGAACCCCTTTTAAACCTGTTGGGGGCGTGTAGGGTGAAACTCGTCCTTAGCCGATTCGCTTGGCGCCTAGTGCCAACCAGGACAGCGAAATGTTTCACAATTTGCCTTTGGCGTTTTGGTTGGTGCCTGGCACCAACCTGGGCACCAAACTCATACTCCCTCCAAATTCTTCTGTTTTTACTTCACTTTGCATGCAAGCTTGTTAATTCACTTCAAATTGATTCCTACATATATAAACACTATTATTACGCTCGAGTCAGAAATATTTACATAAAAGTTAACAAGATTGAGGTATAATGTAAGGCAAATTACATGCGAAAATATGGATTTTTAGCCTAACATCACCACCCCACACTTAAGCTCTTGCTCTTCCTTGAGCAACCTAAAACCTTGCTAACCAAACAATGCACGCAAGACATCATACAGTGGAGGAACATTTGGCAATTCAACACACCACACCTATAACTATTGTTGATACCAACAATTAAGCCCTTGCATACGCATTCATACATTTCCCAACTTTCACATGTCGGAATATTAGTGACCAATTACAAACACTCAAACAACCTGCCCATAACTAGCCAACCTCAAAGACCGACTCGTCGCCAATAAGCACTCTCAACACGTGCACTCACCCAATAAGAGATGTTTAATAACGTTACCTATCCGTCATGGACTCATGTGCCTCACCAAAGAATAAGAGGGTATTTCGTCCATACATTCAAATATGCATTCGAATATAATTTAAGGACATCACATATATGAACAAAGAACCACTCATTCTGATAAGGAAATTCATGTGCACTCCATGGCTGTACCATAGGCTTGCCCGTAATGTATATCTCCACTAATCTAAGCTCGCACAGTCTAAGATCAATTAGGTCTTTACGGGTTGTAATGTAGGCTAAAGGGCGGGTAGGATATATTTTTGGTATAGTGACTAACCCTCCTAAGCAGTTTAATACACTACACTTAACTTTCAAATACACACTTTTCATGACCAATTCAAGCAATGCCACAAAATCATATACAACTTGGCCCTTCTTCTTTAAGCACATCTATATACTCACTAGCCCGGATCACGATGAATAGGAGGTCTATTTTCTATATACTTATTTTTCTCCTTTTTGTATTCCCCCCCCCCTTTTTCAACACTTCATAAATTTAGGTTGCCTGACTAATGATCTTCCAAAACATACATGCAACTTTTTGGCTTTTCTATGGTTTCACTCAAAAGCTACCCTAACTCTCACCTTACTCTTCTAGCGACTTAAGTACTTTCGGAGGTAAAGGTTCGAAAAGATTTAATTAAGAACAAAATGGGAATCATCTTGTAATGTGGGTGCCAAAGAAAAAGCTTATAGGCTCAAATGGGATATCTAAGAATAATTTTATTTATGGTGGCATAATAGCTCAATGGACAATCAAAGAAATGCATACATCATCTCCTAGACTCACAAAACTTACTTATTTCGCTTCGACTAACACACAGGGCAAGTTCTAGGAAAAATACTGGATAGCACGGAATATGATCAAAACCTCACATCACACAATGCACATGACCCCAAACGAGACAGTTTCATTCCAACTCTCAAGTTTAAGCAAGTAGTCACAAGTCAAGAAGTATTAAGCAATAAAGCACTACATGAGCAATGAGTCAAGTAACTGAGAGAAAGCATCACATATAGGCTATTCAATCTTTCACGGCATCAATTTTTATTAAAATATGTTAGGAAGGTAATTCGCATGCTAAGACCTAACTATGCTAGCATCAAATAGGTCAAAAGGCACATAAGAGCACTCAATTTTTCTTTCCTCAATTTCCTACAAATAAAAATTACCCGATTCAAGTTACATCCCTTGAAAAAGAATCGATGCCAAAAGAAAAATCAAGAGGGATTATTATCTACTACGACTAACTAAAAATAAGAATAAAAATATTTTTGGATTTTTTTTTCTCATTGGACCTTATTCCCTCAAGAAAGCTGTCCAAAAGATCCATCGTCAGGAAAGGTCCCTTTTTAAAAAAAAGTTAAACTAACACAACTAAAATAGTATAGAAAGTCACCCATACAATCTCCTCACCCCACACTTAAAATTGTGCATTGTCCCCAATGCACACCCATAAATACAAGAGGATAAAAGAAACTCCCTGGTAGGCCAAAGGCAGAAGCATTAGTATCTCATGGGATACTCAGACTTCTCCCATACTTGATTTTTTGTGCGGGTACCCCACATTTAGTTCTAACCATCTCAGTTGCTTTTGCATTCTTCCAATGGCCTTGCTTCCCATGCTCCTAGAGAAATAAAAAACAACACTACAAGAATAATACAATAATAAAAAACAAAAATGGCAGCACATACAATACAAGGCATCGCACTACACTCGGGCCATTAAAGTAGAATGATCAGAGAATTCTTTGCCCCGAGTCGCTACCCACGCAATTATGATACACTACAATTAAATGAAACACCAAAAGAGAAAAGAAAAAATAAAACAATACAATACACGACTAGTGCACACAGATAGGCTCACACATACGACCTTCGTGCACAACATTACTCTCTAATACCCCACACTCACACATTAGTGCTAACAAATAATGCTCGGCTACTCAGACTTCGCCGGCCATCAACAATGTTCTTTCAATAATTTCATCGAACACTTGGTGCGCAGCACTTTCATTCAAGCCTTTCAAACTATTGGACAAGTGCCATACCCTCCCAAATTAAATGAGGTGGCGGGACTTTGAGTTTTCCACCTCGTAGTCAATTAACAACTCCAAAACAACATACTATTCACTACACACTTGCCAACACTCTACGCTATGAGAAGTTGGGTGGGGAAAGAAGAGTGAGAGATGAGAAAACAACTATAATACAAAATCAAGAAGTAACTAAAACAAAAAGAGAAGAGAAGACTACAAGAAAATAACGAAAATAGGAGAATAATATAAACTCACCTAATGCTTGAGAGATAGAAGAAGCAGGGAGCGGGGGGAAAAGGATTCGGAGAGAAAAAGAACTGGGCGGGGAGGGATTAGGGTGAGATGGGTCGGGTTGGGGGTAATGTTTTATTATTATTAGCCTATTGGGTGTGGTGACGGGTTTGGGTTGGGTTGGCGTAAAATGGGTAGGGGACTTACCTGTTGTTTTTGTCCGCGCCTAGCGCTGAAGAAGGCAGTTGTGTGTATTAGTTGCTGCCTTTGGCGTTTTACACAGCGCCTGGCACCAATCTGGGCGCTAAAATGCAATTTATTTTTAATCAGTAAATGACAACTAGACTAAAACAAGAAAATTGGGTTGCCTCCCAAAAAGCGCTTGATTTAACATCGCTGCATGACGCAGTCAATCAAAATCAATGTTCATTTAACACTTGAGGCTCCTTCAAATGAATCACCGATACAGTGTTTTCCTCATCCATGCCCAAGTAATGTTTCAACCTTTGCCTATTGACTCTGAACCTGTTCGTTCCATCCTTAGATTCAATTTCTATAGCTCCACTTCAGAACACTTGCATAACTCTAAATGGTCCTGACCATCTAGACTTCAGCTTACCAGGAAATAATTTCAATTTTGAGTTGTACAACAACACGATATTTCCCGGTTTGAAAATTCTTTCTTGAATATGTTTATCATTCATAATCTTCATCCTTTATTTGTACAGCCTAGTGCTTTCAAAAGCATGGTAACAAAACTTATCAAGTTCATGCAGCTCTATGACTCTACTTGTACCAGCAGCCTCCAAGTCAAGATTTAATTGCCTTAACGCCCAAAAAGCTCTATGCTCTAACTCTACCGGCAAGTGACACACTTTTCCAAATACCAATTTATACGGTGACATACCAATTGGAGGTTTGAATGCAGTGCGGTAAGCCCATAGTACATCATCCAATTTCTTCGCCCAATCAGTCCGAGTAGCATTTACAGTTTTGGTCAAAACACTCTTGATTTCTCTGTTCGACACCTCCACTTGCCCACTTGTTTGGGGGTGATACGGAGTGGCAACCTTATGGACAACGCCATATTTCTCCAATAACTTTGCAAAGGCTCGGTTACAGAAGTGGGTGCCTCCATCACTTATGATCGCTCTTTGAGTGCTCAATCGGGTGAAGATATTTTTTCTTAAAAAACCAATAACTCCCTTTGCATTATTTGTTGGGAGTGCTACAGCTTCTACCCATTTCGATACATAGTCCACTGCTACAAGTATCTACTTGTTGTTGTATGAGCTGACAAATGGTCCCATAAAGTCGATTCCCCATACATTAAATACTTTTACTTCTTGAATTGGGTTCATGGGCATCTCATGTCGACGAGAAATATTTCCCATCCTTTGACACTCATCACAACTTTTTACCCTAAAGTGTGCATCTTTAAACAACGTCGGCCAATAGAATCCAGACTCCAAAACTTTAGCAGCTGTCCTTACCCCTCCAAAATGACCTCCATAAGGCAAAGCATGACATGCCTGCAAAACAGAAGCTTGGTCTATCTCGGGAATACATCTCCGGATAATGTTATCAATACAAATCCTAAACAAATATGGTTCATCCCAGAAATACATACGACAATAACGAAAGAACTTTTTCTTCTGCACAGAAGATAAGTCATAGGGAACAATATAGCTTGCCAGGTAGTTTGCAATGTCTGCATATCATGGTGCTTCCTCAAGGCTCGTGGCTAACAGTTGTTCATCCGGAATAGTCTCCATGATCTCTTCTACCTCAACCTTCGTTTTAGCTCCTTCAAGCCTGGACAAGTGATCGACAACTTGGTTCTCCGTTCCTTTTCGGTCATGGATTTCCAAGTCGAATTCTTGCAACTGTAGGACCCATCTAATCAGGCGCGACTTTGACTCTTTCTTATCAATTAGATACCTGAGAGCATCATGGTCAGTATAAACAATTACCTTCGAGCCTATCAAGTAAGACCTGAATTTGTGAAATGCAAACACCACGGCTAGCATCTCTTTTTCTGTCAATGTGTAATTCAGTTGAGCACCATTCAATGTTCTACATGCATAGTATATTGGATGCATGATTATCCTTTCTCTACCCAAGTACTGCTCCTACAGCATGGTCACTTGCATCACACATAAGCTCAAATGGTTTCTCCCAGTCGGGTGCAACTATGATAGGTACAGATACCAACCTCTTCTTCAATCCCTCAAAAGCTACCCTACAATCATCAGAAAACACAAAAGTGTGATTCTTTCAAGCAATTTACACAAAGGGTAGTGATCTTGGAAATATCTTTTATAAAATGCCTGTAGATACCGGCGTGACCAAGGAAACTTCTTATTTTCTTGACATAAATGGGTGGTGGTAGCTTCTCTATTACATCGACCTTAGCTCGATCCACCTCAATGCCCTTACTTGACACTAGTGTCCCAATATTATACCTTCATGTACCATGAAATGGCATTTTTCCTAGTTTAGCACCAGATTAGTCTCCATACATCTCTGCAACACTCTTTTCAGATTTCTAAGGCAATCATCAAAAGAATTTCCCACCACTGAGAAATCATCCATGAAAACCTCCATTATATCCTCTACCATATCTGTAAATTTGGCCATCATGCACCTTTGGAATATGGCGGGTGCATTGCATAGGCCAAACAACATTCTCCAAAAAGCGTAAATGCCATATAGATAGCTGAATGACGTTTTCTCTCTATCCTTCGGGGCAATAGATATCTGATTGTACCCCGAGTATCCATACAAGAAGCAAAAATGTGATCTCCCTGCCAATCTATCTAGCATCTGATCAATGAACGACAATGGAAAATGGTCTTTTCGGGTGGCCTTATTCAATCTTCTGTAATCCATACAAATTCGCCATCCCGTGACTATTCTCGTTGAGATCAATTCGTTGTTCTCGTTTTATACAACAGTTATCCCATCTTTCTTTGGCACACACTGAACTGGGCTAACCCAATTGCTATCAGAGATGGGAAAAATAATTCCCGCATCTAACCACTTGATCAGTTCCTTCTTTATAACTTCTTTCATGTTAGGGTTCAGCCTTTTTTGATATTCTCTAGAAGGTTTGTGCCCATCTTTCAGTAGAATCTTATGCATACAGAAGGCGGGTTGATACCCTTAATGTTTGCAATGGTCCAACCAATTGCAATCTTTCACTCTTTCAACACCTTCAAAAGTTGTTCTACCTGCACATCTAACAAACCAGATGAGATAATAATAGGTAAAGCCGAGTTAGGTCCTAAGAAAACATATCTAAGGTGAGATGGTAGCGGTTTCAACTCCAATTGTGGTGGTGCTTCAATCGATGGCTTGGCTGGAGGGGTCTTTCTTTCTTCAGAGTGCAAAGGCTCGAATTCGATCTCTCTTTTCGAGTACCCTTGCCCTTGAAGAGCCAACACCCATTCCGCCAAGTCCTCACTATTTACTTCTTCTAAGTTCATAAGGCAGGCTATTAGAGGATCTTTTGCATTAAGTGCCTCATCATCTTCCTCCATGATTACATCCACCGTGTCTAACAAAGAGCAATCTGCAAACTCACTGGGTCGCCATATAGACTTTTGCATATTAAATGTTATTTCTTCATTATTCAGCCTCATCTTTAGCTCCCCAGTTTCACAATCAATTAGAGCTCTTCCTATGACCAAGAACGGCCTTCCCAAAATTATGGGAATCTTCTTATCAACCTGGCAGTCCATAATGACAAAATCTGCTGGAAACACGGATTTTCCAACTTGCACAAGTACATCGTCAAGTTTACCTGATGGTGTTTTCACCGTTCGGTCAGCCAGCTGTAGTAACATGGATATGGGACTTGCTCTTCAAATGCCTAACTTTTTATAGATAGAAAGTGGCATCAGATTTATGCTTGCCCCCATATCACACAATGCTTTGGCGAATGCATAGCTACCTATGGTGCATGGAATTGTGAAGATTCCAGGGTCGGATAGCTTCTCAGCTATAGGTCTTATCATAATAACACTACAGGTCTGTGTCAACGTGACAGTTGCCAAGTCTTGGAAGTTGAACTTTCGAGACATCAAGTCCTTCATCATTTTTGCATAAACGGGCATCTCCCTCAAAGCATCTATTAGAGGAATGTTTACTTGAATTTGCTTAAGCATTTCCATGAAATTTTTATACTGCTCATCCTTCTGATATTTGGCCAACCTCTGCAGGAAGGGTGCTGGAGGTCGCTTCTTTCTTGTAGCTTAAGTTAGATCCTGCTCAGGCACTTTTTCTAAAACCTTCTATTGCACTTTCTCAGTGTCCCCCGCAACTTCTTTTTCCTTGTTTATTTCCTCTTGGGCTGGTTGTACTCTTACTTTTGTTAGGCCAGTTGACTCATCTAACTCAATTGGCACTAACACAAGTGTTTTAGTTGACCGGCTCTCACAAGCAATTTCTTGCTCTAAATCAAGATCTCTACCATTTCTCAAGTTCACCGCCATAAGCGGCTTCAGGCCCTGCTCTTTTGGATTGACATGTGTGTCCACAGGTAACGTCCCTTGAGGACGATTGTTAAGGGCCATGGATATTGCCCTAGTTGAATCTCAATGCCCTTGATAGTCGAGTCGTGTGACACTACCTTTTCTTGTATTTGGTGGACCTTTTCTTCCATTTTCCCACTGGCCCCAATAAGTTATTACAATATTCCTTTAATTTCAGATAACCCATCATCCTTCCTCACTATCTGTTATTGTTGAGATTGTTGATAAGTTAGCTACTGATTTTGCTGGTTGTATCCTTGTTGCCTTTGGTGAGGTACTACTTGAACCTGTGGTCGTATAGCTCCAGGATTGCTGGTGTTATTGTACTGTTGTTGTGCTGGTCTATACTGCTGATTTTGCTGCCCCCAATTCTGACCACCTTGCCTCTGGCCTTGATAGTTGCTCACATAGTTCATGTTATCTTGATAGTTTTGGTTGTCACATTCACCACTCCACGAACACACATATAGTTGGTTAATGTATGGTGTACATAACAACAACAGTCTTTTTGCTTCCGGTGTTACATTTGGTTGCTTTTGCGTGACAGAAAATTTTTCAGATGCTGTTGTGGATCTTCAATGTAAGACCTAGAGAACAGTCCCATGTTTTGCAACAGATGTAGCATGTTGTTTGTAATTTGAAATGACTCCGCTTGTATCTGAGGGACTGTAATTGCAGTTGCCAAATGTTTAGCGGTGGGTTGTGCCAAATCATACAAAGCTGCTTCTGGCATAAGAGGTGCCATACCCTGATTGTTCGGGTCATTCACATTGTTTCGATTGTTTTGATTATCCAAAGCGTCACTGATATCCGGTTCAATTTGTTCTCTTGGGTGATGTTGTTGGTTGTCCTTCTTGTTTGCACGATTTAATGCTTTAAAAGCTTTATCAGGATCCGGTAATGCTTCAAACAATTCACCAGTTCTTGAGGAGTTTCTAGGCATACGCCTATAACACACAAGACCACAAACGTTAGAATTTCAATGTAATGAATAAAAATGGAGAAAATTGACTAAACTAAGAATCCTAGCAATTCTTTTAGTTGTAATTAGTAAACTGTTGCTTCCCCAGCAATGACGCCAAAATTTAATCTTGCCCAACTATGCCTTCTAAAAGATTTACCGATCGTTGCAAATATAATCCAGTTTACAAGTCCGGAGTCGAATCCCACGGAAAAATAACGTGTTAATTATAACTAATAGTTTTGCACGAATTCAAGTAATCAACCTTCAGAAATATCTATATAAATATAATTGAGGAGTTGGAGAAAGCGACTTGGCACATCTCTTTAACAAGGAATGCTATTTATCTTTTTTGTCATTTTATTGCCTTTTTAATTAATTTTTTAATTTATTTCCCGCAATAAGAAAATATCAACCGCCAGAAATTTTTACCCGAAACAACACTTTACAAATCCCATTTATTACGAAACGTCTTTCTGCTCCACTTTTTCCTCCCTTTGTAAAACTCCTCATTCTTTATATTTGTAGTTTATAACGTCTTCTTTTCATCTCCTCTTCTTTCTCCAACTCGCGAGACCTAAAATACTTCTTTTGGTCTGCAATATCTCAATTATGAGTTACCACATAAAGAAATCAAAAAGTAATTCAGTTTGCCCATCTTGAATGATACGATTTTAGTCTGATAAGATGATTCATCTGCAGGATAATAGAAATGTGGAGGATTTGGTTATCAAATGCTTATTGAACTGTTTCCAAAGCCCCACAGGTAAATATTTTTCATTACCTAATTATTGAAAATTATTTACTTCATATTTGCGCATATGCTGTAAAATTTGATTTGGCAGTTTAACTGAAAACGAGAAGGACGATGAAGATCCATGTAGTGCTCTTTCTCGGTCCCGTAATCCAAAATATTTTCACAGGTACTCCAATAGTAACTTTTTTCTATACTTTCTATTTTACTGCCACTATTTAACAGTGCTATATTTGGAAAACTGAGTACTTTCAGTTAACATTTGACAGAATCAGTTATTTTTATTTTGCAAACATGAAAGAACTTTAAAT